TTCATTCTTAATATAAGTGAATTATGAATATTTCTTCTTTTAATATTTTGAAAATTTCATAATTAATTTCTATTAAAGCATGCACTGATAATATGAGAAATCCTCTGATAGTGCTCTGTTTACAGTGGTCCTGCAAACTTCAAGCCCCAGGAAAACGGCACTTAAAGTGACCCTGGTTTCTATTAGATGTGAGCAAGGTGCAAAGGAAGGTGGCAGTTTGGGAATATGGCTGGGTCGTCTTGCAATGGTGGGCTTTGCAGCAGCTATCACGGTTGAAATTTCTACAGGGAGGGGGCTTTTAGAGGTATGTGGTATAGAAGCTGGAAATGGTAATTTGATATTCTGTGAAATGTCATTCCCTTACACTCTTGTTTCCTAGAGTGGGTTGTTAAATATTCTTTCTTTTCATCATCCTAATTTATGGGCTTATGTGTTTGAGCCTCACGTATCTCTTAAGAGTTTTTCATTTTGGGGATCAGTTCTTGCTTTAGTTTTTTGTGTACGTGTTTGATATGCTATCAAACTGCGATTAAATATTATGTTCTCTGTCCCTCTCTTATCTTTACTGCCTGGAACTCTCTTATACTTTTCCATCTTTAATATTGTACTTGTCATGCCGCCTTGTAGATAAGTGGTGTTTGTTTTTCACGTGACTCTGACTTTTTTTGATCTTTCTTGGTATTTCTGCGCATAAGAAGTTTTTTCAATGCTTCTGTAGCTTATGTTTGTTCTTATATATCTTTGTGAAGTCAGCCTTTTTCTATACCTTGTCCCTCCACTTCCTTTCTGAAGTTTCTAAAGTCATGTTCGGTTTTGCTTTACTCCCATATGAGGTTTCCTTTTCTTTCTTTTCCTTTTCCATTGTGGCACATGGCCAGTGTATATTATGTAAGTGACGGTATAGCATACAGGCACAAAAGATTGATTTTATCTTTCTGGATTTCATCAATACAATCATAGTGCCCCTCAAAATTTGAGTGATGTGATTGATACTTGACAAATTTTCCATAAACAGAAATGCTTTAACATAGCTGATGATCTATATTGATCTGCTGTATGCTGATAAGATGTGATGTCTTTGATTATTAAGGATTATCTTGCATACATCACAATAAGTTTCGTGAGCTACATTTCTATATCCAATTGTGCTATATTGCATTCTTCTTATAGTGAGTATTCTTTGTATTTGCCTACATGTAGTTGAGGATGCTTTCCCTCATTCTCAACTAATATGTTATCAGAGCCTGATTGAGGAAGTCAAAGCTATAAGCTTAGAATCAGAAATTTTCTACGACATTATAAGAGCAGGTTTTCAAGATATTGTAGAATGAAGACGTACATGACCACTCTTAAGGTCTCTGGCAATTTAAATCAGAAATCTCTTATCTAGAAGTGTCATATATGTGATTATTTGTACATGTCATACTGATAAATGCTCTTGGCCATAGATTGTTGGGTTTTAACTAGGTAATGAGTCAGCTATTACTTTTGACTTGATTCCTAACTGCATTCGGAGATCGGCAATGTTACGCAGAAATGGGTGACTGTTAGCATCTAACATGGATAGACTCTTTAGAAGTGCCAATCCGGAAGTTGGCCATTTAGAAGCGACACGTTCGTATGTGATGCAGACTGCTTTTTGGAGGCATAATGTTTCACCTAGATGCCAATTTGGGATGATCTAGAGCTAAGTCAATGATGTCGTTGAGAATCTATGACCCTTATCTTTATGGAATTTTCTTGAATTGGGCATCTTGGACTAAATATCTCTCTTTGTGGAATACATTCTGTTATATATGAACTTTTACTGGCCCCATTTCATAAAGGGGGCAGCTATAAATACTTCAATATCTTAATATAGTATAGTCACTTATTCCCAAAAGAGATACTTCTCTTATGTTGTGATATATCCACCATATCGCATATTAAGGAGTTTTTATGTAGCAATTTTAGATGAATGTTACAACACATTTATCCTTTTTCATGATATTATCAGTTCCTCCATAGCAAGCATGTTGAAGGCTTGGGACTGTCTAGTGGGATTTGGCTCAGGCCAAGACCTGAGTCAGTCAATATCAACAATGAAAAAAGAAAATAACAAGAAGAGACTTGGGTGAATCTCATAGGGAGAAGGGTTGGCAGACCAGCCTCTAAGTGAAAATACAATGTGCAAGACAGAAAAATATAGTTGTATGAACGGGATGTGAAACAGCACTGGAAATTATTGGACCATGGGGCTTCTTTGCTATGTGAAATTAGAAGTCTAAAACAACAGCTGTAAAGTACTTTAAACAGTAGTTACTGTCCAAATTCTTGTATTTTTCATTAATTTTGATAATTTATGTTATGGACAGAATCCTTCCATTCCTGCAGAAATTGGAAATTTCCATTTTCCTCAAACTTGTCATCCATTTTCCTTTGTGTTGCAGAACTTCGGACTTTCAACGCCCGTACCGACAGTGGCCTTGGTGGTCACAGCTGTGGTGGTAGTTCTAACAGCATTTTTTATTTTTCAATCTGCATCTAGTGATTGATTGCTTTTATTGAACAATTTATATTATCCGAAGTTTGTAAGTTATTTGTATTAATTCTCACTTAATGACATTATAGATGTTCAAATGAGGATCCACATAAATGTTTTGTATGAGTTCAAATTGGACATAATGACAATGCATTTTCTAGATGTTCAAACGGGGGTCCAAATAAATGTTATGTATTAGTTCAAGTGGAACATCAACTCAATATTTTTTTAATCAAAATAAATATTTGTATTAATAATCAAAATTTACTCTCTGTCGTGTATTCTATATGAAGATTCCACAAAAATGGGTAGACGAAGATTCCACAAAATGGGTGGGCAAAATTTTGTAGACCTCTTGCAAGGTTGACACTCTAGGGTGGAAGTTGGTTTGTTTGGCAATGGATAGCTCTGGTGTTGAAACTCCCTCTTTTAATGTTGTGTGCGCCTCTGTATTTGGTTCCTTCAATATATGTTGAAACCAGACCTGAAAGGTTGTGATGAAGGTGTAAGATTTGCTCAAACATGCCGTAAGTGACAAGAGCATTTAGAGGAGCCTCCGGCCCAGGTAATCACATTTTGTAAGGCAACCTCTATGAGCAGCCTCGAACCCACCTTCTATCGAACAGTTGCAGTACAATTAGCAGCGTCTGCCTCTCGATGAGGATGGAGTTTGTGACTCCAAGCATGTCCAAATGAGGGAGAAAGGTCTCAACCTGGTAACTCCTAAGTCCCACTGTTGCCAGTAAGGCTTGGGATCCCCCTCGGCTGCCATCAGAATTGAGTTTTATTACCCCTTGATCAGGGGCCACCCAAAAAGACGACTTGGGGATAGGATTGCAAATGGACTAGATGATGCGGCGACATTGGGTTGCTTGATTCACGTAAGCATAAGCTTGGAATTTCTTGCAGGATAAAGCCAGGCAATCATCATTGCTTTTATTCAATTGATCAATGCATTTGGATGTAAGGAGTTTTTCAAAATTCTCTGCATTCTAACATAGTGAACAAGAATCGCAAGTACCGACAGTCACCATGGTTGATGGTAGTAAACCTGCAGCGAGGAAAGGGGGAGTGAGCTAATGTTGGAAGAGGCTTTTTATGAACCTGTGAGCGACCCATTGCCCATCAAAAGGGACAAATAGAAAATGACCATACCTAAGAAGCAACTTGGCATTGCAAGGGCGGGTGATCTATCATCTCCTCTTCATTCCTACACATCAAACACCAGTTTGGGAGCAAAATAGCCATATGTTGAATTTGGTCTAGAGTGACAATTTTGCTGGATGCCTCTTACCAGCTGAAATGCTTGAACCTTTAATGGTGCAAGCGTGGCCCACATTTTCCGGATAGTGGCTGGGCGATGTGTCAAAGATATTGCCAAGTTTGGTGAGATGAGGGCCTTAAGGTAAGAGGGAAACTGAGACAGCTGCACTGGGGTTCCTTTTGATTTTATCACTCTCGCTCAGGGAGAAGGAGAGGGATTTCAGGGAGTCTAGCATAATGGTGAGGTTGCCGACTTTATCATGTCGAGATTTTGATAGGAGTGAGTCCAGATATATGGTGAGTCCAAAACTTTAAACACTTATGCTACAAGATCTTCCTAGTCCAAACTGTTTCACTGTTGCGATGGTCAAAAGACTCCGACGCCTTTGTGCAGTCTGTGTAGATAGAAACATGCTTCGTGCTATACAATTGAGGAACTTTTTAGTTAATATGCAAAAGAATGAATTAGGCAGGTTTACAAATGTTTGCAGGAATTCAAGAAAGTGAAGAAAGACTCAGTTTAGCATCGTAAATATGGGGCTTTTAGATTACTGTGACAAATGGCTAGAGCTTGGTTTCATGTCTTAAGGAGCAAACAAAAGTAATAACGATTTTTTTTTTTGGTTGATTATGGTGAAAGATACAAAGCTGAAAAAAGAAAATAAACTTACCTACTGCTTTTGGTCCAGGAGAGAATACTCTGCTAATGTTAGTGACGTGAGCATGGAATGGGCAAAAATAATGATGTAATGAATGTATTCATCATGAGTTGAATTCCATTGATGTACATAAAGTAAAAGACTTAGAACAATTCAAAATTTCTTTTTTAAAAGCTTGAAAGAGAATTTTTCATCGGGGGCATCTCCTAGAGTAAAATAACAAAACTATGAATATAAGGGAATGTCTATAAAAGCACCATTTGTCTATTGTATATAGAGGTCATAATCATTCTTGTCCATTAAATTTCAAAGTGGGTGGTTGTAAGAGTGTCATTGAATAGATACAAAATTCAAAACAAAAATTCTCGGATTTTGTAACACATTGCAAACCATTCAATTTGACATCTAATGAATGAGAATGATTGTGACTTCCATGTGCAAAAAATAAAAGAAATTTATGTGGCAGGTACCGCATTTCTATATTTGCGGTCCCCGAGATCTAAAGCATCTATCAATGGATGCATAAGGGTGGTTCATCTAAAAACAATTGAAACTTATAGTCCCAATGTTTTTTGAATAGAATTATTATTTTTAATTTTCAAAATTTTTTTATTTATTCATATTCATAATCTCCATGTTACAGATTCCATGTCCTTAAAAATTAGGTCAAAAAATCCATCTAAAAAATAAAATTTTTTTAAGAGGCAACTCATATCTACATGGACCCAATTCCATAATATCAACGTGGATGCATGAGTATCATAATAAGTGATTGTACTAGGTGGGGCAAAACTGACCTCTATGAGGATTTTGGATGTTTGAAAAAAGGTAACTCTCTATATATATATATATATATATATAGAAAAGTCTCCTCAGTGCTTATAAGCGAAAAGGAACAGTGATTTCGCTTACTCTCATTACCGTCCAAAGTTCATCGCACGGTCACGATTGTCCAATAGTATTTTATTTTTTTTTTTTTTACAAATCAGAATGATCTGAAATTTGGAACGTGTGTTCATAAAATATAGGTGAATCTATAAAAATATAAAAAACAGAATTTGTAAAACATAAATTAATCAAAATATCCCAAAACATTTATAGGGGTATTTAGATCAATGTATTTATTTCAACTTATTTTGTTAATATTTTTATTAGGTGCACTTTGGTGAGAAGAATTGACGCGTAAAACTTCATACGATTTGGATTTGTAGAAAAAAAATTAAAATTAAAAATGAAATGAGGTCGTGATCGTCAGATCAGTCCAAATTCAATTTGGGCCATTGGGCTCATATGTAACTGTGAGTTTGTGGGCCTACGCCAACTTTTTCTTATATATATATATATATATTTTACTCTAAGTGTTTGAGATGAATTTGCATTTTTACTAGTAAGATTCCTTATTAAATTTGCCATCCGTAGGTTGCGAATAATGACAATTTGGATATTCAGGGGCCCAGCGTTTTTCCTAAGCGGCTATTCCTGGCCTTGGCGGTACTTTGCAATAGGCTTTCCCTTGTCTCTTGCTTTAACTCTCGGACCAACTTTCTGGGATGTAAAATTTAACTTGGTATCCTTTTATAAAGATGTAACTTTTATCTCTTACAGCTTATTTTGTAAAAGAAACATGTTTACTGTTTTTTGACAGTCTAACTATTTACACAGTTCCAGTGTTAGACAGTTCTACTGTTTTCACTTTGACAGTTTTACTGTATGGCTCTGATACCAACTTCGGCCCGGATCTACAGTACTGTCTTTATGATCTTAATTCTTGAAAATTTTATAAATTTATTTGCATATAATCTGAAATTTCAGTAGTGAAATTTTTATAGTAAATAGGTGAATAGTATATTATTGTATCTAAGTAATTCTTGTAGAATCCTATAATAATTAAGCACAAATAATATTATGCAAAGAAAGGAAACAATAGAAATATCTATTACTAACCATTGAGCATATGTTAATTCTCTAACTTTTATGGTAAACAGTATTTTGAATTGCATAATGAAATTTTCATAATAAAACTTTATTGATACCTTGTAGCACACTTTTTACAGCACACTATGGACAGATTTTTACACGTTATTACAATTACACTAAAAGTAAAGAAAACAGGAAAAGAAGCAAAGAAGAGAAATAACTTAGAGACGAGGAAGAGTATGGAAACTTACTGACGGCATATACAGTAGCTGGAAAATAATTTCCAGTGTTCTGGACAATAGGAAGGAAGGGATGTAATATTGCAGTCACACATAAATTTAAAGAGAGAGAAGAGATATTGAACCTGGATATTGAAGCTACGGGGTCAAGGTAGTTTTGATTGCATGAAATATTCTGATCAGGGTGAAGAGGTCTGAACAGGGTGAAGAGGTCTGAACAGGGTGAAGAGGTCTGAACAGGGGGAAGAGGTCTGAACAAGGGGAAGAGGTCTGAACAAGGTTTTGCTATTATAGAAGACTGAGAAAAGTTCTTCGGTCTTCGAATGGGAGCAGAGGAGAAAAGAGGAAGAACCTCAGAGAAGGAAGAGACTGAGAGAAAAGGAGAAGAGAGGCTATTCGACCCTGCAAGAATGAGAGGTCTCCTGGCCTTTTATAGACAAACATCGATTGCTTCGTTGTGAAGCAACGAATAAAGCTAAAGGAGATGGATGAGACGTAAAGGAGGGTGAGATGACTTAAAGCAAAAGAAAAAGTAGACTGACATGACTCAAAGAAGAAAAAACAAAAATTTTAAAAGAAAAGCTGCCGACAAAGCATCTTTGTACAGTGCTATGTTTGTCGGTTGCCAAGTGGCTACAGTATTTCTTGTCGGATATCTTTTTGTCTTATTTGTGAGTGGCTACAGTATTCTTGAGTGGCTATAGTATTCTTTGTCATCTTCCGTCGGTGGCTTTTGTCGCTTATAAAATCTTTTTTCGTCTTCCGTCGGTGGCTTTTGTCGTTCATAGAATCTGTTTGTATCATTGATGCAGACTTCTTTATTGATGCAGATTTTTTATGGTATTTGGCTAAACTCATCCGGATCTTCTTCTGGCTTTGATTCTTCTTCCGGATCTTCTATGGGAAGATTGAGATATTGGTTGGTATGTAAAGGTGATGATTGCACTGTTTCTTCTAAGGAAACTGGTTTTTTCCCAGCTTCAGCAAAGATTTATCTCATCTGTTGTTCTAATGTTTCTTTAGAGGCATTAGGGTTGGACTGAAGCATGTTTCTTAGATATGTTGAAAAATCAAAGGATGTATTAGCTGTTT